TGTGCCAATCTATTTCAGTAAAACTGTATTTTGACAGCAGCTATAGGTGTGTGTGTTGAAGGTGAGGTTGACAGGAAGACAGTCTATAGCTGCAGAGTCTGCAGGGCATTAAGTCATTAACAAAAACCAACTGTAAGGACAGAGCTGCATCGAGTCCTGCAGAGAGACAGAGAGCAGCAGAAAGAGAAAACGAGAAGAAACATTTTTACATTTTCATTTTTGTTTTCAGCAAATACAATGAATAATTTATTGAAAATTGAATAAAAATCCACCTAACAAAGACATATGAATCAGGACAGTGAGGGATCAATGACTAAAATCCCATTTAAGCATCCTTTTTGTAGGCAAAGAAGAAAAGTAAAAAAGAAGCCTGGTTGCATTTAATGTAATGGCAAAAAAACCCTACTTGTATTTATTGGCTCAATGAACAGTTTCCTACTAATGTCATGGTCTCAATTGATAATTTCAAGTCTTCTTCCATACACCATGTCCATTTTGTAAATTATGGTGCAATTTAGAGTAAAATAGATGATAAAATGCATGCATTGTGATTCTCAGTGAGTGAACTAGGCAGTGCTGATACTGCATTGCCCTTTTCTCTCTTAAAATGTTTTCAGAAACATACTTTAGTGTACTGTTTATCTGTAGTACAACAAAGTGTGTGACCAGGCAATGAGTGCATTCCAACTCGCAGTTCATCACCACTGCTGGCTGCAAAAATACAACAACTCAAGGCTTCAAAACAGTACTTCACAATCCAGTGGCAAACTACAGGTTCACACTTGGTCACGGGCAGACAGTGTCAGCGGTAATCCAAAATGATAAATCTTTTACTGTGTCTATTATATTATATAGGGAGTAGCAAATGAATGAAGGGGGAAGTGATTTTCATGAAGTTGAGGTTTTCCAGGAGTGGGTGCTCATTTGATAGAATCTTGAAACTTTACTCTTGTTGCACATTTAATGTCTTCTACTTTTAAATAGTTTGAATTTGGGGAAATTATACGCTTATTCACTTCACTGCCGAGAGCTAGATGAGAAGCTCAAGCTAGTTTAATTATTATACAATATCATGCGATTGTTATTATTACAAACTCTCTACAATATTAAACTATTCAAATTAAGTATTACATAAAACGGTTATGCAATTTGCAAATTTATAGTCCCAAACTGTTTAATATATAAAATCGATAACCTCACCCAATGTCCCAGAGAGCACATACAGTCCTTCATTTACAGGCTTATAAAGCTCTCCACATAATCCCCCGTTCTCTCTGAAACACCTTCCTTTGATGTTCCTCAACATCTTCGAGAGCCCTTATGGGTTTCTGATCTTAACCTCTGCCAGTGTGACACAGACCAGCCCCTACCCCACCCCACCTCCTTAAAACTCCCTGGGCTTAGAACATTAAAAGGTCAGCAGCCACCCACTCGGGAGAGGGAAATTGAAGCTGGAGAAAAAGAAGCATGTAATGGGGAAGTCTCAGCTGAGTGTGGACAGAAGAAGAAAAACAACAAGAAAGAAGAAAAGGTGGTCAAAAGAAAGGAATGAAGCTCAAAGACACAGCTGGGACACGCTGACGTGTGTGTGTCTATGCACGCAGCACTGACGCACCTGTGTTGATTGCGACTGAGATTTGTCAATGGTGGACATCCCACGCCTGATATCTCATGAATTTCTAGGTTGCCTGGCAACCCTGCCGACCTCTCTGCATCTGAATCTGTGTCTTGCGTTTGTTAATTATCTTTCTCCCTTTTTAGATTTCTCTATTTTGCTTTCAAGATTTCCACAAGTGAGGTCTAAATGTTTCTGTTAAAGTCAATATCACAGAGGAAACCTCCTCCACGCACACTCTGGCGTCAGTCGGTGCTCACATGGCGATGGTAGGAGGAAACCTGTGGCTGGTGACGAAAAAATTCACAACAAGGGAGGCTTCCTTATGCAGGCACGTATGGCTGCATGCACACACAAACACACACACAAACATGTGACAGACAGTTTTTCTGGCTAATCTAGTACAAAGTACAGTCTCTGACACGTGTACTCTGTACACACACACACACACAGACACACACACTGAAACAATCACTACCAATCACATTCATATAATTTGTGCATGCACCTGCTTAGGCATGTGAACAACAGACATATGCAATACAAACACTCAATTGCTACACCTGGTTAAAACTAATGCCACATTTGTGCAATTAATACTACCATCATGAAGGTTACATTGTTCTGCTTTTGTTGTAATTAATAAAGGGAGGTGTTTCGTATTCAACCTCATTTAGGAGGATGTAGCTAGTGATGCTGTTACGCAATGCATAACAACATCATTGTAACAAATAAAATCCAATGCAAACTAGCTCTAAACACCTACTGTACGCAATCTTCCCAACACTAACAGCAGCTATCGGCTAAAGAGCCGGGAAATACAGTTTGGTGGCCTTTAAATAGGTTATTTACATATTAAACAATATATAATATGGTAAGAAAGAATAGGGGTCGATAATGATGGCATTAATACCTTGTGAGTGACAGAAATCCATTTGGCTTTACATGATTTTTTTTTAAATGATAGAAAATTCAATCAGAGAACTCTGCTGTTTTATGCAGTGGCTCTAAAGTTTGGTTAGCTGAAGTTTTCAGTGCATGGATCTTTTCTCTCACTTCATTTGTTAGACAACTTCTGTGCTCTGACTGACGGTTTTGAGTGACAGCTGGACAACCAGAATACTGGCCGCCGAGACAATCAATACAAAGGTTAACACACTTCTGCTGAAATACAAAGTGAAAGATAAATGAGGCAGAGGGAGAGAGATGAACACGGGATAGACAGGGAAGATAGAAAACAAACTAAAAAAGAATTAGGTTGAGAGATCTCATGTGGGACTATACGAAGAAGGGATGAGATGGAAATGATGGGAGAGACTGCAGCACGAAAATGTTTTACTTTGTCCATTCATCCTTAGAGGGGATGCACAGGCTTCTCTCTTTGTTAACTCTGTTTATTCACAATTACACAGCGCAAATTAGCACAGGGCTAACTTAATTATGCAACTGCATTTCTCTTTCCTCACTCGCTGTGTGTTCCCTCTATCCTCTTCTATAAAACCCACACACACAAATCCTCCCACGCAATTTCTAAATGATGCCATGCCAAATTCCGGCACACATTTGCACACACATACCAAAGCTGATGCCACCAAATATGTTCTATATACCCTCATGCTCACATCTAAGCTAACATGCTCATTTATTTTCAATGCAACAACATTAGACAGACACACACACACACTGATCCAGGTGCAAACCTCTCCAGGCAGCGTGCCAGTCATTCAGGCAGGCTGCCAGTATACAAGACAGAGGGTCTGCTGTGTTGTAAATGTCAGGTGTCCTGCTGTTTGAGCCAGCACGCATCTTGTTGCTAAATAATCTCATCTGCACACACTTAACCACATTTATAAAGGCAACATGAAGGTGTGGGGGGGCGGAAGGAAGGATGGAAGAAGAAAAGAAGAAAAAGATGGAGCATGACTACAAGGAAGTGGAGGGGAATGTCGATTAAGTTTTGTAGATTTTAGGTTGAAAGGTAAAACAGGATACTTCACACACTGGAATTGAGAGTGTTCAAGGATTTTGAACTATTCAAGGTATGAGAGATGCACAAGATGTAAAGTTGGTGAACTAACTTTCTCTGTATGGATTTTCTCTGTAATTTCTATTTATGCTAAAGCAGCAAGTTCAGGTGACATGTGATGGACTGTAAAATCATACAATTCTCCAAATAAAGAATAACTACACAATGTATTAATATTTTCCATTTAAAATGTACTTAAATGGGTAGATTTTATGTACAAATCCTTTCAGCTGTAGGCCTTAAGTTCATTAATAGGTTTTTGTAATCCATACTGTACCTTCTCATAGTCTCATTTTATTTATAATTTTCAAGTTTTAAATTGGTGGGTAGACAAGTATATGTGTGATTCTTTTGATTATTGATATTGATATTGATCAAGAAACAGTAAAAGGAGCAACAGCTATGACCCTTCCTAATATGGAGAATGTAAGAGATTAGATACCAGATATCAACTCTCAGTATAGTGTGTACATAAAATTGGTTCACATTAAGTTTTCTGACAGAATTATAAATGCTAGTATTGGTCCTGTAAGAAGTACAATATCAGTCAAACGATAAAAGTCACATTTATATTCTATTTAGCATTCCTTTGCTGCTGCAATATTCACATTTCCCCCTCAGGGACGATTATCCTGTCATGTGATCTCACTGTATGAGATATTTCAGTTGAATGTTATTCGTTTAAAGTTGATTAACCAAGTCCTATTCATAAGAGGGAAAAGCTTAAAAACTAGGGAGATAAGGAGATTTTTTTGGGGGGGAAATTCTATTAAGGAGAGAAGAAGGTGAAGATGAAAGATAGACAGAACCAAGCATGAGAGCAAGAAAGAGACGGATACTGAACAGTATCCAGAGCTGCCAGGAGAGCCAGTCTCTCTAGTGACGGCTCATTTATTGCGTTCCCAAGGTAACCAATGAAAGTATTCACTCAGAACAATGGCAATATTACTAGCCTGTAATTTCTCTGTACTGAAGCAGCGTGTGTGCATGCTGCATTATTCCGCACCATGTGATAAACTTATATGTTGATTATGAAGTGATATGATGAGTGTTCTACACAAGTGCAATTATGTGCACACTGTAAAATACAATATAATAAAAATCAGCAGTGAGAATATTTGCTGTAATTTAAGTGAGAGTGGTCTAGTTAGAGTAGGCTCATTCATACTCTGTGTGCGTACCTGTGACAGGCTGGAAAAACCCAGATTGCGGCAGCCGTTGCAGGGTGTCAAGGCCTCCCAGAATCCAGTGGGGCCACAGCCCTTTTCTGCCTCGTCCTCCTCCAGGGCCGGAGGGAGAGGAGGGGTCGGCCGCTGTATAAAAATAAGAAAAAAACTATTAGATTACCAGATCTCGATTATAACAAGTAACAAATAAAGAGAGTCAAAGGTCAGAAGATCTGTGTCTCCAGAGAAACCTGATCTCTGACGAAGTAGGAAATCAAACAAAGAGCTGAGAGATGAGATGTTTATTTATACAGGGTGAAAAGAGGAGTAGGATCAATAATAATATACGTAAAATAGAATCAATATTTTTACATTAACAATGGATCGAATGAACGTGTGATGTCAAAGGGGTCACTTAAAGAGATTTATCACCTAACCCAGCTGTTCTCCTCCTTTTTGGTTTTCCGCCTCACAACTTTACTGTTTTGGTTCAGTCTCACTACTCTAATAGTAATGTTTCTAGTCACAGCAGACGGCAGTTTTCAGCTCAGATAAACCCACTGTAACCTTACTACCGAGCACCAAATGACAAACAAAGTTTGCAACTAGCTGGTGAACATAGTGGAACATTTAGCAGTTTAAAAGTGAGATGTTTCTGTGAGATACAACAGAGATATACACCCATAATGCTGATTTTGGAAAAGAAGTAGAAGTAACCCACCATTTAAATTGGACAAGCCTTTGCACTGCTGCTCTGGTTGCCACAATGAGTTAACCAGAAAGGAGAAAGGTGCAGGAACAGCAGAACAACTTTTAACACACACACTAATGCACACAGTGTCCTTTCCTGGGGCACTTTGGCTCCCAGGAGGCAGGTGTGTGGATGAGCTCTGTGGCATGAGATGTCAGAGGGCAGATACAGCACACCTGATATCTCAGTGAACCATATTATTCAGCAGAGGACGCGGGTCAATGCAGATTACATAGACAGATATCACCGCAGTGTCTCATATGTAGCTTTTAAAGGTGACAACAGGAGAGGGAAAAAAGAGAGGGAAAGAGCTGAGGGAGGTATGATGACAATGGTGAAGTAAAATCATATTAGGAACAAAGCTTTAGAGAGGGTAAACAAAATGAGGTGAAAAGGGAGAAGTTTAAGAGGGGAACTTGGAGGTCATGTCAAAGAAATTACAAAGTGCTTGAGCAAGAATAAAATTGTGACGAGTTACACTTACAGAAGATACAGTGGAAGGGACGGACAGATGGGAAGAGCAAAAGAAGCAGCGAGACTGGAGACGGAGGCAGAAATTGAGGCTGAAACCAAAAGGTCACCAATCGCTCCAGATTGCAAATGGCCCTCTACAACACTGGAATATTGATTGATATAAAACGGACTGCAGTCCTCACATACTGCATTGTATGCATGAACAATAAGACAGATATATCCTTTCATTACAGCAAAAAATCAGATATCAGGCAGGGTTCAATAGAAAGGACACCATTAATTATTCATCACTGAAGACTGCATTACTGATCAATATTACATTGGTCGTCTGTGGGAAACCCTTAAAGGGATAGATTACTATTTTGGGAATTTCTCCTACTTAACTGCGTAAGGGTGTTTCTTTTAATTTTGAAGGCTTGTTTTTTTGGCTTCATTTGGCGGAGAAAACCAAACATTTGATTAATTCTGTGACCGGAACTGACTATGAAAAGTACAATTTTGCAGATCAATCTAAACAAATTTTCACCCAGATTTATGTCCCCACACATTCAAAGGTTTTCCTGCTGCCAGAAGACACTGTTAGCAACAGTTTACTGTAAACATAATTCTCTCGTGAAAACACAGTTTCCAGTTATAGAAAAAGAGAGAGGAAGAAATATGGAGTGAAAAAAATGCATATGAGCAGACGATTAACCAACAGAGTTGTGGTTAGACTTCAAGTGTTTATGATGATGAAATTTTAAATCTGATTTCACACAGAGAACCTCGTAAATATAACCTGTTAATAATCAGTATGCTAGTATCATCACTGCGAGTATGTTAGCATGTAGATTTTTGCTAAATCCCATTATTGGTCGCCTTTATAGCTCAACTGGTAAGGTGTTTGTCCCATGTATTAAGCTGTAGTTCCTGTCTATATTTGCCTGTCACTATCCAATTAAGGCATAAAAAAGTATATAAATGAAAATAAATAATTAAAATCACATTTTCATGTTTTAATAATCAAATAAATCTTTTTTCGTTATAATAAAAAAATCTAAAATATAAAAATATAATGAGCCTATAACATTTTAACCAAATGAGTAAAATTTGTTCTTCGGTGTCAGAGACATTTCTAACCTGCAAAGACAAAAGTAAATGTTTGTGATCAATCAAGTGAAAATTGACCAATAAGCAAAAATGCCAAATATGCTCTGGTATTAGCTTCTCAAATATGAGATACTGGATAATTGATTGGCATTTGGAGTGTTGGTTGGACAAATCTGAAGAGGTGACCTTGGGGTTCAGAGACATTGGTATCTATTTCTTGACATTTTCTATTTAATACGCTAAATTTTTAAAATAATCTTGTGTAATCTTGTAATCTTTTATTTATTGTGACATGGTTAAATTCAAAGATACTGTATAAATATCAGCAGAAAACATTTCCAGTGTCAGTGAAACAGTGGAATTATCTTTCAGAGACACATATTGGTTTAAGCCCGATGAACACACATAATGGAAGTACTCATCTGAATACAGAACATGTATTGCTCGGTTTACACACAATAGGCACCAAGGTGATGTGGGAAGCCTGCCTTGCGATCTTCCTGTGCGTTTACGTGTGTTTCTGCATGTTTTATTCATGCCTAATAGACACATTGAATCGCATACTAATGGCTCCGGCCACATGTACAAATAGTAGCCTAGGGGCACATAAACACACACACACACACTGCGAATGTCAGTAATGGAATACAAATTGGTACTTGGAGAGAAAGAGAGGGACACAAGATGGATTGAGATAATTACAGTCCAAGTGAGAGGAGGTGTGTGTTCAGCGTACGTGCACATGTGTGTAGGCCTCAGCAGGTTTGCTACGCCTGCTACACTGTGCGTAAACATGCCTCAGCTTGCTTTTATATGGAGCTTATTACAGGCATGGTGAAGATGAGCTATTGATCAGCGTCACAATATTCCCTCACTGAGATGTGTGCATTGCTGTATGTAGGTGAGCCAGGAGGAGAGAAAGGGAAAGAAAAATAGAAACAGACATGCCGTGACAAGCAAGCGAGAAGCACAGATATAGGCATTTGTTTGGATGCTTTTGTGTTTGCGGGTGTGTGTGTGTGTGTGTGTGTGTGTGTGTGGTCTAAAGGCTCAGGTGGGGGGTCAGTGTGATAGATGACCTCTGTGTCCTGCAGTGCGTCTGACTTCCTGGCCGGTGGAATTGAAAAAGCTCATAGCCTCTTTGTCACGCTGCTCTGGCTGTTAGAAATAAACTGCAGCTGTGATTCTCTGGTCAGTAAACACTGATAAAAGCCACCTATTTCATCCCTAATCTGGAATTCAAACCAATAAGGTCTAATCAGTTTTCCTCTGCGTGTGTGAATGAGAGAGTGTGGAGAGAGAGAAAACAAGGGAACAGATACTAATAAAAATATTTCAGTATAAAAAGGCTTCAAATAGAAGACGAAAGGTCAAGAAAAACAATGTCTGCAGGCTGTGAATGGCTGTTTGAACACAAATAATAATTATAATTCTAAACAAATTCTGGCAAACAACAAACAGAAGCTGTTGTGTGTCACCAGCAACCAGTGAATACTCAATGGAGCAAGCCAGCTTAGTAGCATCAATCTATCTGACACTGCCCTCTGTTGTCAAAATAGACAAAATACAAGCAATAATGACCAGTCCCTTACACACATCATGTACTTTGAAAATGCCTGCTTTCTTGCAGTTCACACAGCAGGGATAGGTGGTCTGTGTGAGTTTTCAGTCTACAAAGTAAGTATCAGATGCAAGGTTAAACGCAGCAGCTGAGCTTATGCATAGTGCTGAAAACATACCAAAAGATTAAGTTATTTTTGTACAGGTATGTTAAAATGACTTACTAGTAAATGAGAGCAAGTGCAATATATATGAATGTTTGCACCATCTCTTTCATAATAGGTACAAAATAGTTCACCCCCTTCATCAAGTGGTGCTCAAAGTATTAAAACTTTTAAGGTAAGAGTTTTACCTTGACCTTCACCGTAGCCTTTTTGATAAGAAATAGGGTAAACACAGGTGTTAGCAATGACCCTCTCCAGTGAGCCAACATGCACTATATTAGCACAGCAATCAATAGATTATTGATTGATGAATCAATTAATCAGTCAGAAAACAGTGGAAAATGCAAAGTTCCCAGAGTCATATTGCTTATTTTGTCCTGACCACAGCAGTCAAAAACACAAAGATATACTACAATGATATAACACATAGAGAGAGAGAGGCTAAAACCATTAATTGTTAGACATCAGTGTCGTAGCGTGTGTGTGAATGGGTCAATGGGAGGCAAACTGTAAAGAGCTTCGGACAAAAGCGTTTGTATAAATGCAGTCCATTTACCATATTTAATAAACATCCTGAATGCCCCAGTACAAACTATCTCTACATCACTAATATATAAACAGCCACCAACATGATATTACTGTTGCTGGATCCAATTTAGCAAGTCGAGTTGTCACTTCTTAACTCAGAAGTAGGAGTTCACAAGAAGCCCTTTGAAGACAGGAGGAGACCCAGGACCAGGAATAATACACCATGTCTCATTTCTCCAACACACCAATCTTCTTCAAATGTACCCACCCTGTGTCATAACTGAGCACTGTACCTTGCTGACTCGAGTCAGAGTGCCGTTGGGTCGATCTGGGCGCTCCTCATCAGAGAGCCGCCCGCTGCCAAAGCTGTCCATGGAGTGGGAGGAGATGGTGTGGCAGAGCTCCTCGAAGGAGTAGTCCCTGTCTCTGCACTTTTTGATCTCATGGAGCAGTTTGGACAGCTCACTTGTCACAGCATCGTCTGGGGAGAGGGGAAAGAGAGAGGGTGAAAAGTAAGAAATACATCCAAAGTTCCTTAAAGCATCGGTATGAATCCAGTCTCTATGACTGCTGGTACAAAAGTGTGACTGCACCACCAAAACAGACTGTACACTACAAAATAAACAGAACTAATGGTTGCAAACACCTCCCCTGTCTCGCCTCTGCATTGCTGATGTATTCAAAGCCGCTTTCAAGCACATTCTGAGGAGCAAACTGTGCTAATCACTTTCTCTCGCCCCCCGCCTTCCAAGAGTATCTGAGGTAATTATGGTATCTGCTGACAGTCAATGAGAGAGGAGAGTGGATCAGCAGGAGCTCAGCTTGTTGCAATGTCATATTCATAACACAGGGGGCAGCGCTGGACAGGGAAAATGTATGGCTGCTCACATATGGTAGTAACTGTTTTTCCCCACTAAAAGGAGCTGCTCTCCATGGATAGATATACAGTGTAGTGCATTGTTTGTCCACATAGTAAAAATAAATAATTCGGATTAAGTTTTGGGTATATTTTTAAGACAAAAACACATAAATGCCCAAATATCTACTTAAAATATAAACAATAAAATAATCTTTTAGTGCCCTGAAACTCAGTGTAAACTCAATTATTGTATTGTGGTTGTAACATCACTGTATGTGTGTGTTTACTCACTCTTGTGTCTAAGGGAGGGGGAAGCAGAGGGCGAGGGAACAGAAGTTCGAGGTGCAGGGATGGGACACTTGCGAACAGGCTCCTCCACGATGCTTCTCCTCTCAATCTCGTCCATCATATACTCTACAGAGACATGGAGAAAAGGGGAGAGAAGATGGATGTTGAGACAAGATAAGAGACAAGAAAAATGGGGGAAAAGTGAAAATATGTTGGGAAGAAAGAAGACAAAGACACACAGGCCACAAGGAGAATGTGATGGTGGGGACGAATGGGGGATGAAGAGCATTTCAGAGGCATTTTACTGGATCAATATAATAGCACGGCCATCAGCACGGTAAACAGCTTGTGCTGCATTCAATTCGCACTTTTCCACAAACCACAAATTCACTTCACAGCTTCTGCTAATAGAGCACTCTGCTATTCATAGAAGCAAAAGAAAAGGATGATGTGGGAAAAGAAAAAAAGAGAAAAGATAGGAGGGAGGAGGAAGAGGAGGAAAGAGAGCAGGTTCAGGTGTGGGGGCAGAAAATAAGTTGAAGATTGGATAATAAACTTGCTTAACGGAGGCATTAGAAGCAGAAAACACACAAGCACACTTAAACGGTGAAATCATGTGGCAGATTCCCTGCAGAGTCTTAATGAGGAACCCTATTAATGTCAGGAAAATGTGTGTGTGTTTCTACTACTATGAATCTTGGCATTCAGCTCAATAATTATGATACACAACCATATTTGCATACAGTTATAGAGTATGGGAATGTGCCTCAGAGTCGGAAAGATTCAAATGTTTTTGACAGTTTTATTCCCCTGTACTCATACTTCAGTAGATTCTTCATAAACAGCAGAAGACGTACAGCCTGGTGTCTAAGTGTTACAGCTAAACTACTGCACTGCAATGTAGTACACAACCAGTGGCTGCTGGGCAGTATAAAAGTGAACTGTTAATGAATTCGAACAGTAGGATGAGTCATGCTCTGTAAATCAAATGAGAATTTATTCATAATTAGGTGGCTGTGGCAACCAGGAAGCCCCTCAGCTGCTACAATTGAGTAAATGACAGGTCTTTTGCTCTTTGTGTGTGTGTGTGTGTTCTTTTCCATCTCCTCTCCAACAGGAAATGGCATGCAGCTGATCTTTTTACTAAGTCACAGCTGTGTCCTTTTTCTCCCTCTCTCTCTCTCTCTCTCTCTCTCTCTTTCTCTCTTTCTTCCTCACTCTCACAAACACATTCAGTCTCCTATTTATGCCAAAGTCCAAATCACTCCGTTTCCAGCGCTGGTTTACTGAGATTAGATTTCGATGGCTGCTATTCCTGATCATTATCTACTATCACTTGGATTTTTGACATTTAAAAAGCTACAAGTGGTCTATTCATGTCTGTTCTGGGCATCTTATAGTTTTTTATAGCTTTTTGTTTCCTAAGTGTAGTGTTTGAATAAATATTTACAAATATTCAAATTCACAAAAAAAGTATAACACGATATTTTTTATTTATCATTTTGAAATTTGAAAATGTTCAAGTGAAAAAGACATTCAACCTATTCAAACCCACTGACACAGTGGTCAGTAAGTACAAACCCACCAAACTTACTTTAAATTCTAGTGGTTTCCAAAGACACAAAATGTGTCAAGATAAATGTACAAAATAGTATGCAAGACATGTAGAGTGTTTCCATTTGGAGGATTTTGTATAAATCATAAAGCTTCAATAAAATATATTGTATGTGATACAAACAGTGTGGGCCAAGATGGTTTTTCATAACTTAAAGCAACGATAATAGAACCAGCTATAAACAAAACATTGATACATTATCACTTTATAAAATTGTTGTGGCTAACGTATTAGAAAACTGTTTAGACATTACACATCGAGCAGACAGGTGTTTTTGGCCACCTGATGAATTTAAGTTCAATATTCACTCTCCTTTTAATTCTGTTTTTCTATGCCATCCTGAGAACAATGTCTGGCTCTTTAGCTGCTAAATGCTCCACTATGTTCACAAGCTAGTTTCTAACCTTGTCTATCCACTGTGAGGTAGAATACAGTGGGTTCTTAGAGCTTTCTTGCTGAAAACAGCTGCTAATTGTAAAAACCAAAACAAAGAGCTGACAGGTGCTAAAATGCTCCATAGAACAGAGAGGACCTGCAGAATCAATTAGGTGATTCTTCACCGCAAGCAACTACTTTCACACACACATTGTTGATTGATCCATTGTTACAATATTATAATAACATTGATTAGCTGCTTAAGGGGAAATAGGAAATAGGAAACTTCGAGTTAAAGGGTTAAAACATAGGTTATGTGCAGATGGTTTCCAATTATTATTTTCCATTTGTCAGATATATCTGATTCTCTGAGCACTAAGCATGTATTGAGTAATTGGAATCCCCAATTACAACTTGATTGCCCTGCGTGTTGCATCACTGTCTTCCCAGGTTTAATGTCAGCTTTACGTCTGTTATTTTCTAGCTGTGGCCAGTTTGTAACATTTATGGGATTCGGTCTGTGTTCCCTTTTCTATCTTTGCCTCGTAGTTAAGACCAACTCAGTGTTAATTTAGGCTCCGACATGTTCTCCTCATCCCTCTATCCCTCCATTTGTGTCTGCCTTTATCTCAGTCTCTTTAAATCATCTTTAATTATGTGCCTTACATACACCCACAGATTACACAAGGACAGATAGTGAAAGCCTCCAAGCCACAGATTACAGAGTTCATACTGAGCCTCATAATCACCTCAGGACAACACTGTCTTTAGAAGGTGTAATCTGGAGAATCTGTGGGTCTCTGGGGACTGCGGAGCAAACTCACACTAACAATCACTGGTCACACACAAAACACACTGGTGTCACTGCATCGAGGTTAGGAGGAGGTGAACTGCTGCACATTGCTCTTTTAATCTCCGTTATGTTGTACTACGTTTGCTGTACATGCGATTTTTATTTTTTGCTCCTGCAATGACCCAATTTCTCAAGTGAAATTCATCTAAATCTCTGTGTGTGTGAGTGTGTCTTACCTTGGATAAGAGCAGTGATCTGCTGGGATTTCGGCGCAGGATGTTCTCTCAGGATCTCCAGAGCTGTTCTCCCCTGACTGTCCCTCAGATTGGTTTCAATCCCTGAGACAGAAGCATACACACACACACAGAAAAACACAATGTAAGTATTGAAGTATCAACAGCACGGCAAAGGTCAAACCTCAACAGCCATGACATTGTCTAACAAGACAAACCTACTCATACCTGCTCAAAAACACACTGAACTTAAGACACAATCATACAAGACACGTGTACATGCACAGACGGAGGCACAGATCTGCTGACACACCCACTCGGACACAAAACTCCAGTCAGCAAAAGATGAATGAGCTGCAGTCCCCAGAAGATGAACGTAGGAATTTAATAATTTACAATGACTCTTGACAAACAGCAAACATGCTTTTCATCAAGTTTTTAAACCTGGGTTTCCCCTGGACGAAGGGGAACACACTCACTCATTCACATAAACCTGTCTGCTTTTACTATCGATAGACACACTAACAAACTCAAGAGTGTGCAGGAAAAATACATATACAAATCTTTCTTCCACTGTAAGCCCTCGTTTACCTGATGTTTAGCCTGTGCTTATGGATCCAATTCAACATGAAAAATAAACGTCACACCAGTCACTCTGCTGGGCACCATAAGATATTTAGAAAGAAAAATGAATACAAATTGAGAGAAAGTGCCAGTTTTCTCTTTCTTCTTTCTTCGTTTTACTGCTTTTCTCTTGCTTTTTATTTAATAGAAATGACACAATTTTTTTTTGTTTTGTGCAATTATTGCAAACAACAAAATAAACTGAATGAATAATGAACGTTTATGCTTAATGTTTATAGGAACGGATCGACATTTTAGAAGATGTATGAAAAGTATAAAGTATTAAGCTACCACTAGCAGCTGGTTAGCTAAACAAAGACTGGAGAACGGGGGGGACACAGCTAGCCGGGCTCTGTCTAAAGGTAACGACACCCACCTAACAGCACCAATAAAGCTAACTAATTTCTAGTTACTGGTCCCACCCGAGAAATAGGCCGGCACTTAAGCCCCAAGGCTTTCAGTCTTTTTGCTAGGCTAAGCTAAATGGCTGTAGCTTCCTATTTTCCGGACAAGCGTAAAACAGCGGTATCAATCTTCTCATCCAACTCTTGGTAAAAAAGCTAATTTCCAAAATTGTCAAACTATTCCTTTATGCAAACACAGAAGATATTTCTTATAAATGCTATGGATTGATTAATGAATTACAGTTACTAAGCTTAAATGTCAAATGATTAATTCCCATGACAATTAACTTCCATAACATCATCTACTGATGAAAACTGTGTGATATGGTTGAAAGGCTTTCATTCGGGATTGATTTGACACAACTACTATTTCCGAGGTCAGGAAGGAACTCTGATGAATAATAAATAACGTGGTTAAAAAAAGAGCTCCAATTCTCACCAGTAAATCCCAAACATGCCAAACATATCTCTGATGCAGTGACTTTCATATTTAAACATCCTCAGCTGTTTCCCTGCATAGTTCAGGACTGAGAATGAAAGGCTGCCCACAATGCATCTCTGCAACAACGCCGCACACACAAACACACGACGTTTGAAGGGTTGTGTTGGGTTAAAGTTCAGTGAATCAGGCCTGCGCAGCATCGTGTTGATCAAGGATGTTAATAAAATCGGGGCCAAAAGAACATGGCCACCCACAGGAAGTCCTGCAGGAAACAGGAAGTGCTAAAGGAAAGTGGGTGGGGGGTTGGCAGTGGTATGAAAGGACAACGGTGTCCATACTCAATCTGCTCTAAATATTGTGAGTGTACAATTTTTGTTTCTTTTACATGTTTTAATAATAGTAATAATCTTTATTTGTATAGCCCACACAGTTTCAAAGTGCTACATAACATGATACAAAGCACCATAACCTTTGACCCCATTATAAAGTCAAGTGACATCAAATTGAGACGCCACATATCATATCCTGTGGAACTTTCAGCACCTTGATACAACTGAACAAAATGGCCAAAACAATAACGAAGCTGAGAGTCCAGGTTTTTAAAACAGCAGACAGATGCCTGGAGTTCACCTGAGGACAAATTCAATCCACAATCTGGAGGGAAAAAAAAAAATCCAGCTGCAGGTTAAAATAAGAAGGGAAAACAAGGGAAGCAAACACAGTCACACGGTTTTTGTTTTTCCAGGATACATTTATAGACCCACCTGAGTGAAGCAGAAGGCGAACTACATCCATCTTCCCAAAGAGAGCTGCCTCATGGAGGGCACTGCCATTTTCGGTCTAAGAGAGAGACAAGGGAGAGTGTGTGTTAATATTCCAACGCTTGAACGATTGAAAACAGAGACAAAAATAGACATCAAAAACAGAAGTGGACTGGGAGCATAAAAAGAAAAAAAGGGCTCAAGGATTAAAAGGGAGCAAGGAGACAATATTTTGATTTGATACAATCTCTCTTTTTCTCTGGCAGTTTAGCAAAAGAGATTCAGCTAGATTAAAACAAAGTCACAATCCCTCGCCTGCAAACAGCGCGAGGCCACACCGATTTCAAACCATTACACAAGCACAGGGAGCCTGTGTGGAAACGTCCCAATTTCCCTCACCATACGCCAGCCTGTATCAGCCTCCAGTGCTTCTAATGGGGATATTACAGATGTGATGCAACACATGGAAACCAGCGAGGGGAGGGCGCTGGTAAGTGCTTCATCTTGGATCAGCGGTGATGAGAGAGACGATTACTCTGACAAGCCCACTTTTAATAGAGCAACACTCAGGAGCCACAAGAAGAAAAAGGAACAGCTGTTTAGCCACCAAGTGTAGAAAGGTTTATGTGATTAGGAGATATATTTTTAAATTATCCTGATTTCAAAAGTTTTTGTTTGTAGAAAAATTAAACCTATAGTCTGCCATGTAGTCCTTTGGCGACGCAAAGTCACACATTTTCAAATACTACACATAATGCCTTTTTGTTCTTAATTAGACATCAATTAACAAGAGTTTGTTTTAAATATGTTTTTCTTTCAGTCTTGTTTCTTTATTGTGTGTGATATGCCTTAGGTTTTGGACCACTAATGGGCAATTAGGAGCAATGTTTTTATGAGTGGGTCCCCGTTTTGTCTGCTCTTGTGGCTCCAATTGTGTTAGTTAGTTAGTTAGTTAATAATAGTTCTCTCCTCACATAGTCAGATTTTGATCATGAGTGATGAGGCTTTGCGGAACAATCGTCACTTTCTTCCCCCTGGACTAATCAGGTGGCCGCATTTGGAACGACATGTAAACAAGAATCCAAGATGTTTGCTCTCCTGTCAACATCAGGCAGCGAAGAGGAGAAAGTTACGGTCAAACCTTCTTCAAAAGTGCATAAATGGGATTATAAACAATCCTCTACACATCTCAAGTCCATAAAGAAAGAAAGTTAAAGTTTTGCTAAATGCTGCTGGGTACCAACTTTTAAGAACAATTCCATCATTTATTTAATATTTATCGTACAGTCAGAGTCAGATAAACATTGTTTTGCACACAGCGACATGTACGTAGACATTCATAACATAATAGAGCAGTTAGTCTGCAGACTTGAAGGAGGCACCACTATTGAAACATAATGACCATTGTGTTTTAATAATTGCATTAATAACGTGTAGAGGCCTTAAGATGGAAAATCATTCTATACAAATGATATCACTTTAGCTAAACAGTGTAATGGGAGCCTTCTGAAGCAAGTAATTATGACTATAATTAGGTTTGACTTATAAATTGATTTACATATATATGGATCAAACCACAAGCGTGAATAAAGAGGCGGCACAGTTTTGCCATTAGGGTAATAAAATACCCGCTCCTTTATTATTTAAAGGGCCAGAGACGAACACCATTCTTGTTGCACATGGTTACAGTATTTTATATTTTACAAGGTGTAGAAGCTGATAGTGTATTTTAACTTAACTGGTTTTCAGTGTAAATATATAATTTATTTATACCCCTGTAATCTGTTGCTGAATTCTTATGTTACAGGCAGGTTAAATTGAAGAAGAGCTTGACCCACTATTTCCCCCAGACTGTGTTTCACTCCACCAACAGACGCAACATGATGGTTTTTGTAGAGTTTTTGTTGTCTGCAGGTAGGTTGATATACAGGCTACCTCATCCATCAGGCACAGAAGTGACTCTGAAAGTGACAGTAAAAGGACCCCAGCTACAACAGCTGGTCTGAAAAGACCAACTTCAGGACCCTTGATCTATACTACAGAGGACACAAGGACACTTTATAGTGCAGAACTGATATTAAACATGCTTTTATGTGACTCTCTCGGTACAATCTGATTTCCTGGATTATAGGTGCAACTGAGGAACCAACACTGGCTATAGCAAGCCAGTGTTGGTTCCTCAGTTGAACCTATAACAGTTGATATTACCTAAACCTAAAAGTGATATCTGTTTGTCAAGACATTGTTTATCTTGTGTCTAAGGGCCGGAGGTAGACACCTACCTTGGTCTGACTGCTTCCCAGTGTTGGGTAGCATTTGATTAATTTCAGCCATCTTGGGAGTGTGCTTTTTCTTTCCTTCCTCTGAGTACACAGTGGCTGTTGAAAATCTTGATGTATAACTCAGTGTTTTGTATTTAAAGGTTAAAAGTTTAGTGTATTTTCTATCCATTTGCCATATTTCATGATCTTAAATCACATTTAAGTATCCTAATGCATCTTTGCCTCACGTTTTTAGGTATCAATGTCAGTTTAAGTGATTGTTGTTGTTTGTTTGTTGTTTGAATATATATGAAGTTACAAGTAAAAACCAGCATTTTTTTTCTTTTTTATATAAATGTATGGATTGTGACAAAAAAACTGCTGGATATTTTGCAGAGAACTTTTAACACGATGTTCATAAGGGTGTTGTCTATAAAAAAACACAATTAAAAAGTAGTGCATAGGAGTGGGAACAAAAATCACTTTCTAAATACTTTTTCTTACTTCAATTTACGGCCTATTCTGCCTTTCATACAGTTGCTGCTCTAAAGCTTTGTGGGACATTATGTTTCTTTATTGTCTCTATTATATACTGAACACACTACCTTGTACACCTTGCTTGAAGCTAAAATATGCATCAGGGACACTAAAGACTTGAATAACACACACTAACGCATACATTCAACCATGATTTAAAAAAATCTCTCTCTCTCTCTCACACGCAGCAACATACATATGCTGAATCCGTCGCATCCTTCACGGTTGGCTTCCCTGCAACACAGATGAAAACCTGGACTGAACCAAACTCCCCGCCTTAATGAAGACAAATTATGTGGACGACAGCCAGGTCTGCTGATACGCGGCTGGGAAATTCAACTCAACACGACACTGCACCAGATCAACATGCTCGTCCTCTGCAGGGAATACTAAACTTACTGTAGCTGTTCTGCTTCCCTTTGCAATAAAACTGTCAATCGAACAATACGCCAAACTGCAGCCACTCCTACAGTATGTCCTCAAATAGGTCAAAGGTCAATTGTCTAGTTTTCTTGGGAGAATATTATAGGTGTAAATCCCAAGTGAAAACAGATCATCAGAGCTTCACTGATTCCATCAAACTCTGGGCGTTTAGCCTGAGGAGACAATCTTTTACCCACAAGCAAGTGGGAGGAGGTAGGAGCGCAGGAAATGATCCACCCCCTTTTCCTCATACACACACACCGCTTGCCCTCCTAACCCCCTCCCTCTGTGGTCATCTCTATACCACTTCCCGTCCCATTTCCCATGGCGATCACGCAGTGATGTCATGAGGAAACGAGGACCGCGATTCTCACTCTCTAAGTGTTTCCGGGAATTGAAAGGCGGATGACTTTCTGTTTCAGGGCTGCTGGCAGAAATGTTGCCGTTGCTGCTGAAGTTGGGATGCAGGGATGAATGTAAATGCTCAAGTCCAATCTAGTGTGTTTATGTGTTTATGTTGTGAGTTTATAATAAACTTTTGCTCCTTGTGTTTGTATCCTTCCATGCTCTGCAGCAGGTTTTTCCATAGGGTTTCCCCTTCATTATTATGAAACAGCAGAGAGGGAAATAAAAAGAATAAAATATATAAATATATAATTATATATCATAGAAGTGAAAATGATGAGATATGTTGACAGGCTTGCTTACTATAATATTTATTCATTCACACTCAGACAGACCTATATGGCTTGACTCCAATTACTGACCTGTACTATCGCTCTCTCTCTCTCTCTCTCTCTCTTTTTCTCCCTTTCCCATCGTGACAATTTACAAGGTGGCCATATGTGAGTTGCCCACAGCATCCACCCTTTACTGTCAACAGTAAAGCTCCAACACTGCAGCCTTACCTCAGAGGAAGAGAGAGCGATGTATAGAAAAAGAGACAGTGAAAAAGAGAGGAGGGAAATGGGAAAAAGAGGACAAATCGAAGACTGCTGTGTTTATCCAAAAGTCCAAAGAGAGAAGAAGACTTTGGTATATTGATGTCCAATCTGCATTTTGCCTCATTCATATGAGAATTATGTCTCTCTTCAGGGAAACCATTAGAGCTGCCTGTTTATATACTGTAGCTAATGGTAATATAGCTGAACATTAACTGCACATAGAGATCTTTGATTTTTCTGAAACCAGGATATAAGGTGTACATGTTCAACACATAACAGGGATATATCAAAAACTCGACCATAACCTCGTTATTGAAGCCAGGGGAGATGGCGTGCATTATCTCACTCAAATTGACCAATAGGTTTAACCCACCCAGAGGGCAATTTTGTTGGCCAGGTGTGCAATAGATTCATGTTAGACCTTACTGTGTCTCTAATGGAGAAAATAGGGAAAGATGGTGCTGTCGCTGTGCATTATTTTCAGCCAAAAGGAGATGGAGCAGTACAAGAGTCAAGGGTAAATTGCAGAAAAGATTTGAGGTATGAAAGGCTTGCAGTGCTCATCATCACTAGCTAGAGAGACACAAAGAGGGAGAGAGAGAGAGAGAGAGAGAGAGAGAGAGTGAGATTTGTAGCAGTGTGTATAGAGAGGACGAGGCAAATCAAAGGCGTGTAGTGTTCATCTTCACTAGACACATGAAGCCCGAGGCCAAATCCCTGCAGAGAAACACAGCCCTCCTCTTCAGATCAGAGCATGCATGCACACATACACACCCAGCCTGCAACAAGGACAGAAGGCAGAGAAGATGGGCGAAATGCCGCTGAGTCATGCGCTTCCTCGCTGTGAGAGCACCAGAATGAAACCCATATCCAACAGGTCAAGTTGTTTCTATCTTTCCAGAGAGGAAATCCACACAAACACACATGTCCATACCCACCAAACTGGGCAAAAACTGCAGTTGAAATATGTTTGTGACAGATTTGACCATATTCTGGAAGGCAGGGGGCACGACGTGACACAAAGTGTTTTCTTGCAATCACAGACCCTACTCAGCATTAAGACATTTTACATGCTTCACATATTGCATATAAACTGTATTTACACTGCCGGGGGAAAGGGAAAATGTAGCATCTGTTACCCCATATGTCTTTGTAGCAAATGAACATTGAGTCAGATTAGATTTTGACAGTAGAAGTTAACTTATAGTCTCATATTCATCAATTGTCTATAATGTAACTATTAGGTTCAGAACTTTATAGGATTTCTTTATTCTGATGTGTGTTGAGCAAACTCTGATATTGATTGCTCCCTGCAGCTGCGGCTCCTCAGCATCTGAACTGTCTTGTTTCTTCATTCAGACTCAACAGCTTCTTGAGGCTTTGAGTCTAACTGAGCCCTGAAACCCTTGCAGCTGGTTTTCCTTCAATCCGTCATGATCACCTAACAGCACTGACTGGAGTAAAGAATAACAGTATGAAACAGGGACCCCCTACAGACATTCAAGTAATAATTTTGAAATCATAAGAAAGTACCCTGTAGATTCACAGATAACTCCAAGCACTGCTCATGTAACAAGGTTTGTGTTATTTATTGCATTGGAGGACACATATGACTCCTGGAGGTTTGTTTACTATAAATATGTAGTTTCAGCTGCTCACATTTGATAAATATAACAAAACTGTGCTCAAAGTGCAAATAAATGAGACAACAGTGCATACTGATGGCGGTGCTGGCGGCGTGGCTCTAGGGATGGCAGTCTTGGTCAGTCTGTCCACCACTTTTGTCCAGACTGACATATCTCAATTTTCATTCTGCTCAGAGGATGCATCCTAAAGCATTTGGGGATCCTTTCACTTACTCTTCAGCAACATCATCAGGTCAAATTAGAATTTTGGTTCATGACCAAATATCTTTAACGCTAATGACATTACCATCAGCCTCAGCTGTACTTACTCTAGTCCTAATTAGCAAATATTAGCAGACAAGCTAACTAAGATGGTAAACATTACACCTGCTTTAAATCAGCATGTTAGCATTGTCATTTTGATTATCTTAGAATGCCAACATTGGCATTTAACTCTAAGCACCACCACACATAACTGCTGCCTCACAGTTAAAGACTGAGTCTTGATTAAAGACTGAGTCTTGAAGGGTTTGTACTGGTGAAGCAAATACCAAAGATCCTTTTTGTGCTCAAAAACACAATATCATTAAAGTGAAGTGTGAAGTTATTATGAAATCAAATGTGAAATTATATAAACTGACTAACAACGATTGAATCAAATCAGATTTTTAATACAGAACAAACACTAGAGATTAAAATGCTTAGGAGTGAAATTGTGATTAGCCGTGACTGCAGTATCTGTGAAGACTGAGGATTAAATGAATAACCAACTTCAGCCTAGTGCAGATTGCACAACTTTTGCCACCATCTATAAGTCCCACACAATGTGTTAAGATCTGAGACCCAACTCCTTGAGTTGGCACAGAATATTTATAGTTGGAGAACCTAAGAGACAAGTTTGGGACAGAAAATTATATTATCCAATGAGAGCTCGAAAAGACACACACATTGATTTCTTGAGTGTTTTCATTAAACAGCAGCAACATAAAAACAGTCTGGGAATGGTACAATCATTTTGATCACATTATCAAAACAGTCTTAAGAGACTGATTAGTAGAGCAAAGGGCTGTTCTCCTTCACTTGACATTTAAGACAAGTGAGCAAAGTCAAATTGTTCAGTTTGCCAGAGAAAATTGTCTCAAGAGAAAGAAAACCATTTCGAAGAAAGCAGCAAAGCATAGCTGCATTTTGACAAGGCTTCACAAAAATAAATGGCCCAGAAAGGTTTGAGACAAAGCTGTGTTTGAACTGTCCAGAATACACAATAAGACAAAATGTAAATGAATGAAGACAAGAGCAGTCCAAACAGCATGACAGAAAGACTGTAAGCTACTCTGTATTTCTATTTCCTTGACTTAATATATATTGTGTATAAAGAGGCGGAGAGAGAAGATGGTGAACTCTCAGGACCTCACAGGAACACCCTGTCCTCTTCCTCCCTCCTCTTCTTCCTCCTGCTCCTGTTCTCTCAATCGTTTCTACCAATCAATTATTCATCCCTCTCCACCACCACACCATGGGAGGCACGCACTGCATATATAAGCTCTCTGCTACACACATGCACAAGAATGGAGGCAGACATACACACTTCAGAAGTAGAATCTGCCAAGCATTTATGCCTGTGGTGGATTATATACACAAAAAACAAAGCTGAACCCTCTTTCATTAAAATCACAAGACAGCAGCTTCTAAAATATTCACATACAGCAGAGATGAGAGGAGGAAGGAGATTCAGTCATAGAGATTGGAAAGATTTTCTTAGACAAAAAGGACAAAGAGATATCTTTCTCGTCACTTTCTCCACTCAAGCAGCATCAGATAACGCAAATAAAATGTCTAGTCCCACTTTATTACTCGATTCTGCCTTAAAACTTACATCTATACACCTAAAATTGTTTTACTTGTTTCTCTATCTGTAAATGTGTACATATGTAGCCTACCTTTAAAAGGGACATTTCACCACAAAATATAATATTACAAATGATTCCTTTTAGCTGGAATTCAATAATCTAGTGTTGTTGATGTTATAATCTGTACAACTCACAAGCATAGAGTTTACTGACAACATTAATAGTGATAATACATAAATCTTGATACGAGAACTTAATCTCAACTACTTCCTGTTAAGTACACACCTTCCAGCTGTCCATTTTAAAAAGAAACATCTGACTGTGGATTAGCGTGAGTAACCATGTAAACAGACATTACTTAATTAGAGTTTTTAAAATCAATTTTTTTCTCAAAAAGGAAGCTGGTTTGCCCTAAGCCAAAAAAGCTAATTTCAAAGCAATTATTACTTATATCATTATAATTTTTGTCCATAAGGATCCTATAATCTGTGCCAGAAATCTGTTAAATGCATGGGTGCCTATAAAGGACACCAACAGCTAAAGGTTGTACATTTTTTCTTACCACACAGTTGACGTCCATGCCGGCCTCGAGCAGGGTCTGGACGGTGCTGTGGTGTCCGTTGCGTGCGGCCAGGTGAAGCGGAGTGTGTTTGCGAGTGTGGCTGGTCATGAGGTTAGGGTGAGCGCTCACCAACATGCGCACCACCTGTCCACAAAAACACAGCCAGTCAGGGACAAAACAGCACATTTTGAAGAAACTGTGTAGTTTTTTAGTAGTAGTAGTAGTCAACTTTTTGTACCTTTTCTTAAAGAAAAAATAAAAATAAAAATCACAGTAGAAGAAAGTTTTTCAGAGAAAAGGCAAATGTTCATTGCCCCTGAGAATCAAAGAGAAGCAACGTTCAGAGAAATCAAGTAAAGCAGACACAGAAATAGTCTCCCAGTGTCACCATGACAGAAGCCTCACCAGTCCATTGGGCTTTTAATTTTTTCACTCAGCAGACTGAATTGTGTTGGATGAAAAGGACTATTTGAGTAAAGAGTTTGGTGTCTGTTTTTAGCCTTTACAAAACCAAAAATACAAGAGGAAAAATCTGCATTTACTTTGTTTTTTTTAACCAATCACAAATTGAAATATACTTTAGGGCTTTGCAGTGCAAGTCCTTCCATAAAAAGAAATGTCAATCAACTTGAGCGTAGTAGGAGGTCGTTTTGAGTTTTGTTAGTGGAGCTACCCTCCTGTTTGATCATGGATGGTGCTTTTAATAACTCATTCAACAACATATAGATCTCTTGAAAGCTTCCTCCTTTAATGTGTGTCTTTGTGTGTGTGTACTGCATGTGTGTATATAGTAAACTTTTGCCCTGTGTTAGTTACATCTCCATGCAGCAGTAGCTTCCACTGTAGGGATTTCCCTTCATTAGCATGCAGAGAGGGAGAGCGAGCGAGAAATACTGCTGCCTTTATAAATTATTCATTCACACTCAGACAAACCTGTATGGCTTGACTGCAATTATTCACTACTTTAGCAGAGAGAAATGTGTGATTACATTTGAACATCAGCAGGAATTTGTGGCATACACCTCTCAGTGTGAATGCGCACTTATGTGTGAGTGTACTTTGTCGCATTTTTGACAAAAGAGTGAAGTCGCATTTCTAAAAATGTATACCTGCCTCTCAGCCTGTCTAGCACCTTAAGTATATGGCAAAGTTTTCTTTTCATCATGCATCTACCATTTTTAAAATTATCAACAGCGACTCCCAGCTGATTCCCATGCACTGTGGTCCTTGTCACTGCCCACCCAACACCCACTCTTGTCCTGGGGAAGGTGCAGATTGAGTCACCAGCTGCCTCCTTTTACCTTGCAGCAAGGAGCTTCACCAGGACACATGCAGAGGTTCATATATGCCTCTCAAAGATCCCATCCTCCCAACGAGTATAAGTAAGGAACAAAAACATGACTCCTCACCAGCTTTCCTACCTGTCTACACTGTCAGTTTGCTTGATGGAGTCAAGTGACAAGCACTGCTAACTGTTTTTTTGGACTTGCAATTAAATTTTAATTTCAAATTAAATGTTCTAAGTGGTAAGTTGCCCTTGCAGCAACGTATAGCAGACGTTTGTAGGCCATTCTCATTAATTTCTAAGGCTTGAATCAATCCTCTGAAGCTCAAATCTGGAGATTTGAGATTCTGCCCTCTGGATATATCGAAAGGTCAGGGTAAGATATTCCTTTATCTCTCTTGCCTTCAAACTGTTAAATCCCAATGTAGCTGAGGAGGAGTCTTCCAGATAAAAACTGATGAGTTGCAAGTCAAGTGTGTAACATTTCAGAGGAGCCATTGCAGAAATTAAATATAATATTCATAGGTATGTTTTCATTAATGTACAATAGTGTAGAATCGTTGTATTTCCTTAGAATAAGAAGCTAATATCTACAGACGCCACAGTCGCCTTCCATCAAAGCCGCCATGTTTCAGTAGTCCAGAACGGACAAACCACTCGCTCTAGATGGGGCCCTTCCTGTTTTTCAAGGCCACCATGGTTCTCCTTCATGCTTGGGAGGGGAGGGTCAAGCGAGGGCGCTGCAATATGCAACTATACCGCTAGATAAATCCTACACACCGGTCCTTTAAGGCTGGTGATGGCGATGCTGTTTTAATTGATTAACTTAGCTGAAGGCTAGATGGACTCCAGGTTTAATGTTATGTTGTCACATTATACACATTGTATTTTATGTGAGCCTATGTTTTTATATAATATTTAGATCATATGTTTTATGTATCTTAAATTCAAGTCTTAATTAAGTTTCTTCTGGCTGCAAGACAAATTTAAGTTTAATCAGCAGTCTACTACCAACCCTAATAAATGCTTAATAAATGCTTCTGTACCATAAATATAGTCAAAATTGGTGACAATTGTGCACCTTTAATTTTTCAAAACTACCTTTATTAAGTTTATTACAGATCAAAACAGCATGCATCTGGTCTCATCTGGACTACTACAGATTAGGTCTTTTGTATTTTAGCAATATTAACACCATTAAAATGCAGAGAGGATTATTTTAAAAGTAGAGAAATTCAAACTGAAAACAGCACTCAACTCCTGGCCTTTGTAGTGTAAAATACACACAATATTAAACTAAACAATCTCTGTCATAAAACTGATATATGTCCTTTTCACTGACCTGCAGCCGTCCGTACAGCGCTGCCAGGTCCAGAGGCGTCTCCTGTTGGCTGTTTCTCATGGTGGGGTCGGTCAGCTCCTGAAGCAGCTCTGAAACCACTTCAGTGTGTCCGTACTGGGCTGCACAGTGAAGCGCTGTTTCCCTCTCATGGTTCTATGGTAGAATGAAGGGAAAGAAAGATCGACAGTGGGAAGGGTGAAGGGAAAAGGGATGAGAGAAGGGGTGGAAGTGGATGAAGATTTTATGGGATTGATAAAGAGTGGGCAGAAGGGCGATGAAGTGAGGAAAGCAAAGAGAGGGAAAAAACATGACAGAAGAAGAATGGAGGGATGCGGTGATCCAGCAAAGGTAAAGAAGAAAAGTAGGTGACGGATGCAATGAAAGAATTAGAAAAAGGAGATGGAAGAAGGTTTAACGAAATGATAGGATAAAAAGAGGAATATGGAGTTGGTGGCCATTAATAGCATAGAAAATAAGAAGGTGGTGATTTAGAAGTAGGGCAAGGTGAAAGGATTGAAATATAAGGGAAGAGAAGAAGAAGGAGGAGGAAAAAGCAGTTAGTTTCATTTATTCGGAATATTGACACAAGGTGAAATTCAAGATGGAAAGCTACAGTCTGTGCAGATACTTCTGCTACACATACAAAGGCATGTCTTGGTCAGTATATCATCCTGCATGTACAAATCCCAAAAGCGTGTCAGGTTTGTGAGAGCTGTCAGGGAAAATCTATAGCTTCCCATCTGTGAAATGGAAGCCATAGCAGAAAGCAAACCGTTTTCCACAAACCCTCTGTGCCTTTTTGGTCCAACACTTTACACTCACTGATTGAGCCTGTCAGGTTCCATTCAACTGGCCAATCAACATATTCAGCAGCAGTAATGTAATGTTGACTTTTTTGATTTCTGCCAGTTAACTATTAGCACTTACTACAATGTGTCTCCTTTTTAAAAAAAATGATTTCTTTAAATTAAGTTTCTCACAGTTACTGTCCAAACTGCTGATTAATTTGTTTAAATACCGTTCACTGATACCCTCCATTTACATTTACTCATGACAAAAAAGTCAAAAGTGAATGCATCTGAGACTGAAGATAGAGTGAGAAGAGTGAGACTTATCCTGGCCGTATGTGTTGCTTAGTGTAAATTAAGTGTATTCAATTATATCTGGAATTTGTCTGCATATGTCACAAGTGTAAATGAGGCCACAGTTACTGTATGTCTGACGTGTCTGTATGAGACACATTCATTTGCACATTTCTGTGAATGTATCTGTAAATACCTTTGTTTTTTTGCATTTCTCAACACATGTAAAAGGTAATAGTAAAAAAAAACTCAACATTAAGTAACATTGGGACAATCAAAACAAATCACTCCAAATTCAGGAACACTGAAGTGTCCGACATGACTCAGAGAAAAGTATATGTACTAAAAGGTTACTTTGAACTTGGGAGGCTTTCATGTTTAGAGGAACTACGTCCATTTTCTGGTTCTCCAGGGGCCCCTGTCAGGATAAGAACGTTGTTGGTGGTCCCTAGGGTCCTGCAGCTCTGGGTGAAAACAGGCCAGTAATGACTGGAAAACTGGGCAGAGGGACCCCCATGAAGGACAGAGAGACGTGATGGATAGCCATAACAGGAGAGAAGAAAGAAACGATAGACACAAGCGCACAAGTGGGTCCTAAAGGGATCAAATCTGTATATGTTCATATATACTTGAAAATAGAGGAAGGAAAGTTAAAAAAAAAAAAAGAGGGCTTGCGTGTGAGGCTGTGTTGTTGCTGGTGTTTGTCCAAGAGCAAAACCTACATTTTGCGTAAGGGCTGAAATTGAACACTATGGGATGTAACATTGTGAGGGGGAGAAAAAGGAGGTAGAGGATGAACAGAAAGCAAGGGGAGACAGTAAGATAAGGAGGTAGAGGAACTAAAGGAATCATGAAATGAATTGGCACTGATTATAAAGTTTCTATTTAAACATGAGCTCACCTCATCATGTAAGTTGAAAGTATTTTTCATCATGCTTCAAAATACAGATATGTCCTTGATATTTCCCACCTTCTCCTGCTATTACTTTATCAATTTCCCTCACATTTCCTGCCTCAAATGCACTCAAACTTCCATGATAAAATTCCAAACACCATGACCACACTCTGCTGCTCAGATGTCATCTCAAGCCTTTTCTTACTCACTTTCTCCCCAGAGCCCGGCTCTCCCTCCCTCACTCTCCTTCCTTTCATTTACCCCTGTGAGCGGTGAGTGAGTGAGATAAGAGATACTGTATGTATGAATAACTAGAGGGAGAGAGAGCCCCTATATGAAGACACACCAACACGTGATATAGCAGCAAAAACACCACAAACGTGCTGGAGAGCTTTCCTTCCTTCTCAGCCAATCAGATCCATCTGGTTTCCCCCTGGACCGCACACCCCTCCACTGATGGCAGAGTGGAACCTTCCAGAGCAGGTCTGATTGCAGGCCCACTGTACTGTAAGCACAATAATCATACACTCGTGCACACTGTAATTCACATTCATCACAGTTTACTGGTGTAATTGTTGGTCGCATTATGTTTAATAAACTCCATTTGCTCTGATCCTGTGTGGACATTCTACTATATTACTATTTTCCACTTTCCCCCAGGGTTCATTTAAGTTTCATTTTATCTAATCTACTGTATATACTGTCTTCTTCAGAGTGTTAGATACTCCTGCCAAGTCCCAAACCACCACAAATACAGTGCAATCAGCCACAGTTTGGTATTGACAGTATTTAGTGTGGAATAGCAATGCAATGTCTGGAGAATAGGACATCTATTAAAAGGTTAAATGCAACAGAACCTGGAAAAGGGACCCAACAGGTAATTTATTTTGACCATGTTACAATTACAGATTTATTTGCTGTTTCTTGGTGCTTACTCAACATAATACAACATTATAATATGAAGCATGGTGAATTACGCTGTGGTTACTGGCAGATAATATATGTAGCAGATTGATTTAGGACTGTGGATAAATCTTATACTCAGAAGTAGTTATTATTTTATTAGGTTATTGAAGAGTTTCAACTATAGATGAATACACATTTTGGGTTTCTGTTATAAATGATTAAACAGGCCAATTTTGATTCCTGTTTTTTACCACCTTGATTTACAAAACTGAACTTTTATGAAACATCTAAAAGGATGTTAAACAAAGCTTCAAAACATTTTGGCTTGTTACTCCTTAAAATCACGCAATACCTATTTGTAACCCGTCTAACTGGTTGCATATTTCGTCCCTCTATCTGAGCTTTCACACCAAACACACAAAGTTCAACACTGCACAGAGCAAGGCCATTCTTTCCAGTAGATAAGGCGTTCTACCAGACAGCTGGGTTAGCCATAGCAGCGCACACTCCCATGATTTTCCGCCCAGTTTGCAGCCAAAGCTTAACTAAATTGAATTTTGAATCCAAATACACTGACCTCCACAACACATGGACAATGGGATTCTGGCACAGATGGAGAGACAGCTATGAGGATGCAATGTGAAAAGTAACTTAACTCTATGCTTAGATTCCACCAGGCTGTGGTTAAAAAAAATACCAAGTCAGAAAATGTGTATTATTGTTTGTTATAATCCAATGTAGCATTCTACTTTGCTACTGGATAGGGTAACATGGTGCACTTCATTATGAAAACACTACCCGTTTCAAACAATGTGCTGCTGCCTGTTTGGAGTGAAACCACAATCAGATTAATGTATTTGAATAATTGGTGGCCTGAGGAGGTAAAATTATCCAGTAATTCAAAAGGGGAAAAAAAGGAAAGGAAACTAAAACGTCTTTTCTATTCTGATAATCATCTCAACTCCTGAGATTTGTCTGGTCAATGTATTAAAAAGAACTGTTCAAGATTGACAGCAGTTTTCATTCCTGGGAGGAAAAATGTGAGGTAGAATTGTAAGCACCAGAACAACTGAGAGGACATTGTGGAAAGATTGTTTTGTCAACTGCTTTTTCAACAATGAACCCTGAAGTGCTCAGAACAATGGATATTTAAACATCCACGACTACTGGGTAACTCCATCTACTGATGAAGATAATGTGACACAAGCAAAAAGCTACAGAACAGCTACTTAGTGGACCTTACGGTGACATTGTTTGTCAACATCTGGCTACCAACATTTGGATTATGCCTTCAACAGGATGAGAATGCCTATATTTTCAGATTTAAAACACAAAGACAAGGATGCAGACGCAATGAAGCAAACCAGTCACATGCACACAAAATGCTAGAGATAAACCACAGATATGATAACCACAGGCACGGAAGCTGAAACTATTGTTTTGCTGTCGCTGACCTGTTCCGTCTCGGCAGCCTTAAACGGACAATAAAGCTTTGTCAGTCCAATCCGCTGCGTGAGGTGCAGCGGATTGAACTGACAAAGCTTTAGATAGGGAAAAGCGCAATTTCCAGACAGAAAGGAGAGTGACAAAGAGACGAACAGAGACACAGAGTGACAGGACGAGGGAGAGGCGAAAGAGAGAGCGGGAGATGTAGAAAATCCTCCCTCCATGTTCTCAGAGCGGGCTATATATTTCCATTACGCTCGCTGTGACAGCTTTCCGATATCATCTAGCACTTGGTGTATTGTTGCTGATTGGGCTCTGAGCAGCAGCCATCTACTAATGACACATCAACAGGCATGGCAGCACATTATTGACATGCCCATACAAATGGATGTCAGTGCTTTTCTCTCATATAACAGCTGATACACAGTTAATGGTCAGAAATATTTTTTTTAAAAAGTATGAGTAATGAAAAATATCTCTTTTTCACAAGACACTGTGTGGTTTTATTATAGATCTTAAAAGAGGATCATTTTTATGACATATCATTACTATCCATGCAGCATCCCCTTCATTATCTTTCTTAACTGAAGGACACACTTACACCCAATCTACCAGCACACTTGTAGTATTACAGTGCATTTATCTGCACACACACACATATTTCCCATAGCAAACACTATCAGTCTTATCTAAATTCATCTCCATGCGACCAAACAAACAGCTACATCCATGCAAATAAGCGAGCCTTATCAGACAGGCCCGGGCTGAAATGAAACCAGAGCGAATGAAGCGCAGAGGTATTTGTTTGAACATACACCGTGTTA